CTGTAGAGCTGAGGGATGCGTCTTGTTTGTCCTTAAGCGGCTTTCAGATGCTGTAACAGACAACGACAACATCCACGGCGTTATACGGGATGTTATGACGAACCAAAGCGGCAACGCGCAGTCTATCACGCATCCCCACAGCCCAACCCAAATTGACCTGTTCCAACGCCTTCTTAACCAAACAAAGGTTGACCCCAGGTCCATTAGTGTCATAGAAGCGCATGGAACAGGTACTCAGGTCAGTTCGCATAGCCAATTCAAGGCAAAATGACAATCAGCTAATATGCTCTGACTTCAGGCCGGCGACACTCGCGAGATGGAAAGTCTTCGGCACGTTTTTGGCCCGTATCATTCGGTGACAAATCCCATCGTTGTCAGCTCTATCAAGGGTAACGTAGGCCACTGTGAGGCTGCGTCTGGGGCTGCGAGCTTGGCCAAATTGCTGCTCATGCTGCGTGAAAAGGGGATCCCACCTCAAGCCGGGTTCAACATCATCAACCCGCACTTCTCCGACCTGGAGAACTCTGGATTCGTCATACCGAGACGAATGATTCCTTGGAATCACTCTATTTCAACTCCGAGAAGAGCTATGCTGAGCAACTTCGGCGCTGCCGGATCGAATGTCTCTCTCTTGTTGGAAGAGTGGATCCAGCACTCAAACACGGAGACGCGAACTCGAGACCGGTCCAGCTATGTTTTCCGAATCTCTGCGAAGTCTCAAACTGCCCTTCAAGCGACCGTACAACAATATCTCAAATTCCTCGGAGAAAGCCCTGATCGGTCATCGCTAAAGGACGTCTGTTACACCGCAACTGCACGGCGTCAGGCCTATGATTATCGCATATCGGTTTCATGCAGTTCTGTAGAAGAGCTTCGGTCCAAACTGGAGACTTGCGAGGCTTCGAGCCCCCCTCCTGCCCTGTCTGCGTCAGCCATCGTGTTCTGCTTCTCTGGGCAAGGCGGCTTCTGCCGCGGCGTGGGAGCTGAGCTCATGGAAACTTTCCATCCTTCCGGGAGTTTGTGTCGAAGTGCGATTCGGTCATCAAAGGGCTGGGGAACGAAAGCATCCTTGGGATGTTCCGCAACAACGCGTCCAACGATCAGTCATTGGGGAAGTCTGAGCGCATAATTGCCGAACAATGTGCCTGTGTCGTACTGGAATTGGCGCTGGCAAGGGTGTTCATGTCATTTGGGATCACTCCAGACTATGTCGTAGGACACAGGTACGTTACTTCGTCGCTCTAAACGTGCAAACTTGCTGATATCTAGATCTGATTAGTCTTGGAGAGTATGCCGCTTTGTGTATAGCTGGTGCACTTTCATTGGAAGACACTTTACGTGCCGTATCATCTCGGGCGAAAATGATGGCATTGTACTGCGAGTTAAATGCTTCCGGAATGTTGGCATGCAGCATGTCGCCAGATCGCGCCGGGAATTTGATCTCGACGAACCCCGCCTTGTCGGAGTTGACTGTGGCATGCCTCAACGGCATTGACGACTGTGTGATCGGCGGGCCATTGGACCAGATCAGCGAGTTCCAGGGACACTGCAAGGCGTGGAAGATTAAGACAAAGGTTTTGGACGTTCCGTTTGCTTTCCACACCAAGGCTATGGATCCAATCTTGGACGATCTTGAGGCACTTGGGCGGTCGATCGGCTTTGCGACGCCTACAGTCCCCATCATTTCCAACGTATTCGGATGCTTTTTTCAGGCAGAGCATCTTACTGGAAACTATTTTGCGCTCCACGCAAGGGAGCCGGTGCGCTTTTCGGAAGGTCTGTTGGATTTACAATCAAGCGCCCCGCTTCACAACGCGCTATTCCTCGACATCGGCCCTCATCCCAGCACAATCCCCATGGTTCGGAGCTTGAATCAACATGGCTCCTCCACATATCTCGGAACGTTGCAAAAGAGCCGAAAAGCATGGGAATCGATCAGTGCGACCCTAGCCAACATATCTCTGCTGAAGATACCTGTCAACTGGCGCGAGGTCTTTGCTGGGACATCTGCGAGGATGTTGTCCGGTTTACCCGGGCATCCCCTGAAGGGCCCGAAATTCTTCGTCCCTTATCGGGAACAACTCCAGAGTGTTGAACAAGGCGAGACATCATTACCGTCTCTTCGCACAAAGACCAAATTCAACCTATTGCCATGGCTGAAGCCTCGGCCGGCTCCGAGCGATACATTCGTGTTCGAGACGACGTTACAAATTCTGGGTCTCCTCATCTCAGGGCATGACGTCGGGGGAACTGCAATCTGTCCGGCTTCGCTCTTTCATGAGCTTGCTTTGGAAGCAGTCGAGACAGCTATCCCACCACTCGTCAGCCAGACTTTGGTCGTCACCAACATGGTCTTTGCCAGTCCTCTGGTCTATAAGCCGTCAAAAGAAGCAAATGTTTCTGTGCAATTGACGAAGCATACGTCAGATGGCGGCGCAGACTTCAAAGTTTCTTCAACTTCAGCTAGCGATCCAACAGAAAACGTTCACTGCACCGGTGTCGTATCCCTACGAGATCAACACGTATTTGACTCTCAGCAGATCAAAGATGCAGCGCTTATGAAGAGACAAAAGCAATACTTTGACACAGTTGGGAAAGAACACAGCAGCATTTTCCGAACTCGGGTGCTGTATGAAGTTGTCTTCCCACGTGTGGTTCGGTACTCTCCCGAATACCAAAGCATACACTATCTCAGAGTGAGCGACTCAAGCCTAGAAGGCATTGGGTCGTTCAAACTTCCTCAAGAATCTGGGACGGGCTACATCTCGCACCCTGTCTTCACGGACTCAATTCTGCACACCGCTGGCTTCATTGCAAACACCGCGGTTAAGGACGAAGATGTGTGCATATGCGCGCGAGTTGACGCAGTGGAGATATCCTATCGGGACATCGATTTTGGAGGCACCTTTCAGATATACTGCAGTCTTCTCGAAGTCAAGGGTGCTTTCCTCGCAGATGCCATCGTCATGGATACTTCCGGGCAAGTAATTGCCGCCGTCAGGAGCATGGAGTTCAGGAGACTTCGTTTGTCTACGTTCCAGCAGTTGCTGGCCCGTAAGTCCACTGACGCTGACAATGAGGTTTGCGCTTCATCAGGAGACAATCTCCAAGTTCCGATTGATTTGATAACTCCGAGCACAAGCACCAAAGGCACCAATACCCCCCCTGAGTCACGCACCAAGTCCACCCAAGACGTTGACATGGCACTAAAAAAGATTGTCATGGACGTTGGTGGCTTCTCCATTGAAGACATGGATTACAACAAGCCATTAGACGAGCTGGGGATTGACTCTCTCATGCAGATCGAGATTGCATCCGGACTGGCGCGAGCATTCCCATTCGCATACAAGATGAATCATCGTACTCTGTCGCAATGCGAAACCTTAGGGTCGTTGGAGATTGCTTTGGGGCTTATGCTACAGTCCTCTGTGGAACCTACTTCCGTTGTCGGAAGCCCCAAGATGGTCAACGAACAGCCTCCAGGCTCACCAACTCCAGCCCCGTTGACCCGGATTGTGTCTGACAGCATCGGGGAAAGTCCAGTTGCGCTGCACACATCTCACCGAGAAACGACGCCGCTGTGTTTGTTCCATGATGGGAGCGGACAGATCACCACGTACGCCAGGCTAAGGGGTTACGATCGCGATGTATTCGCTTTTTTTGATCCGTCATTCGGGAGCACCAAGAAATGTTACGAAACCATACCTCAGATGGCTGAAGATTACATGTCTCTCCTGTCAAAGTCTACGCATTTCCCAATGATGGTCGGCGGTAAGTTCAGCTTTCCAATCACTTGAGCACCAGCTAATCATCAAAGGGTGGTCTTTTGGTGGGGTCGTGGCGTTCGAAGCAGCAAGACAGCTGCTTTCCAAGGGGTTCGAGGTCAAGGGCCTGGTATTGATCGACTCGCCGAGTCCCGTCAACCACAAGCCACTCCCAAAGGAGATCATTACCAGCATAACAAGATCCAACAGATCAGATGGACAGCCCCAGGAAGGAAAGCATAATGCTGCACTAGAAGAAGAATTTCAACGGAACGCGTCTCTTCTCGAACGCTACGGTGCAGATCCATCTGCAATGACACGCATGCCAGGCTTGAAAACCGTCATGCTGAGAAGTCAAGACGTTATGGACACTGAGAGTCTTGTGGGTTTGCGTTACGACTGGCTGAGCAATCAGAATGACCGAGATGCTTCCATCGCCGCCTGGGAGAATCTAGTTTGCGGTCACATCAAGGTGCTTCCTATCCCAGGAAATCATTTCGAAGCATTCAGCCCTGCAAACGTTAGTCCTCAACCAACTTCCACAATAACCAACCATCGTAAAGCTAACCGATTTTAGATTGCCGAGACTGGTTCACAACTTTGGAAGGCCTGTCAGCATATTGAAAGTTCCTAGACACAGACGGGCATCATCGTATGAGCGCTTTCCACGCATCGAGACACTTCACATAGAACAAAACTTTTACATAGACAACAAGCACTTTTATTCCAACATAATCCTTGAAGTTGGTGATCATTCGTAGTCTGCTGGAAATTTGTGTTGTTGGAGTTTGCATCAACGTCTAGCAGACAAAACATAAAAGGCTGGTTTTCCTCATTTACCACACTTGCGCCCCTTCGATATGTGGTCAAAATGATATTGCCGTCGATTAGGCAGTACGGTCGTTCTTACTAATCCTCATCTTAATCTCTGAGGACGTCTTGTAAAGATGCCCGAGCGCGCTCGGGTTCATTTCTTCATAAAGACATCATCCAGCCACACCCACGCTTGGACTAGTGTTGCATTCCGCTGAGGATCAATTCTTTCTATACTGCGTAGGTTGAAAAGTGAAAGCGAGATCACAACTACATGTATCTATGTCGTTTCAATTCATATCCAAGGCTCCGTATGTCACGAAGAGGTTTGTATAAGTATGCCATGTTGCTATTGCGCCGGATTCAGATAAATTATTTGGACGACAGTAAAAGTCTGAGGCCGATAACGACATCGACCCACCATCAGCCTTGCCAAATGACTTCTATCAGTCCCGTGGCCGGGCCAAAGTCTGCTGCTTTGGAAATGGGCTTCATGACTCTTATTTTGAATCTCGGGTCAGCCTGCTTGAACAACTCGATCCACTCAGCTCCCTCTCGCTCGCGACCGTGCCCCTGGGTAAGCATGAGCATGTCGAAAGCCCTATGTTACAAATGTTGTTAGCTCCGATCCACGAGCACAAGCCAATAACCACACAGAAGGCAAAAACCATACCTGACCATCCGTTCAGCCATTAAAGACATAGTTCCCGGCTCAGGGACCAGGCTGTCTATGACGATGAGTCAACAACCAGGCTTCATCAACGGAATTTGGTTCCTGATGATGCGAACGCAGTAGTGATCCGGCCAGTTGTGGAAACACTGTTTGATCATGTACGCGTCCGCCGCCTGGGTCTGTGGCGTGAAGAAGTCGTACGGCATAAACCTGATCCGACCCTTCAGCTCGGCCGGAACGGCAGCTTCCGCCCCGGCCATCATCGGCGGCAAGTCCTGGACGATTAAGTTGAGATCGGGATACTTGCTCGCCAAGTGTATGGCATCAGCACCCCGCGAGCCACCCATATAAACGACGGTGCCTTTGCCCAGCGAAGCCCACAGCTCCGGGTACACGAGGCTCACTCGTGGGGCACTCTCGGAACGGTTCGCAAAAGACATCATCGCCTTGGCGAACCTCTTCGCAAACTGGGGGTCCTCCTTCATCGCGTCGTATCCGCTTTGCTCTTTACCCTTCAATATGGCCATTGCCGTGTGGCTGGGCTCTTGATCTTTGAACTTTTCGAGAGCATCAACGGTCCTCGCGGCCGTGCCGAAGACATGATCGCCGAGCAGCCAGAGCCCGGCCGCCATGGAAGGTTCCTGGACCAGTCTCTTGGAAGCGAGAGAGTGTGCGACGAAACCCGGCCGAGGCTCACAGAAAAGACGGTGATAGACCATGGCATAGCGAAGGATACGACGGATGTCCGTCTCATGCACATCGCAGAGATGAGCCAGCTCGGTGAAGCTTATTTCCTTGTCAAGCGGGACCTTGTTTGGGATATCCCATCTCGAGATGGCCTGCAAACTAGTGCCATACGCCTGAGTATGGGGATTGACTAGTCAGCCACGGGTCAAGGGAGATGAAAGCTCGTCGGCCTCTTGACTTACAACAGGTCGAAGAATGGCTGCAGGACCTTGCAAGAGATCAAACAACTCTAAAGTCGACTCTAACACCTTGACACGAGCATTCTCAGCTGATTCTGCGTCGATTTTCAAGTTTGTCGGTCCGTCAGCGTCGAAAGACGGGCTCGGGAGATCATTGGCTTTAAGGTAGGAGTCCACAATCTTGGTGTTGCTGAAGATGGACTCAGCGAGCCGAGAAATGGTCGTGGGGGCGGCCATTGTCGTTTTATTCTGATTTCAAGAGCAAATTATTGCACCCGAAATGATCGTAGTAAATAAATTCAATGATCTCTACGTACATAAACTGCAAGGGAGTGACGTGATATATGAAGCTGCCCTTTCGTCGGTGCTCCCTTCGTACACCTGCGCACTCAAGTATAGCGTTGGATTTTAATGGTTCAAGCTGACCTCACGACATTGGTTCTGGCCACAAACGTCGATGCCAAGCGATTCTCACGTCACAGATAGAGGACAGATGCATATTGTCGCTGAAGTAGGCCGAAGAATCGTCGGGGACCAGGGTCCTGACCTACACAACCCACAAGTCTTCGGCGACTTGTCTTGATGTTATATTGGTCCGTTTTGGGCTTTACGAGGTGCCACACACCGCATTTAGGCGAATGCGGCAGGCACATCCGCTCCGTTGAAATGCCTCCTCGGCGGCTTTCTGGGAACCGGGAACCCATCTGATCTAAGCCTTATCAGGCACATAGTATCCCACACCGTGACGGCAGACTCTGGAGGGTGTTCGTAGTAGTAGCTATCATCCTATGTCCCGGTGAGGGGGACAGGCGGCCCGTAGTTGCAGCGCCAAGCGAATCCTTCAGGATTACGCCAAGGAATGACGGCGGCAAAGCATGCGGTAAGTCGACAACCACATCTATGCACACGATGCTCGTCGAATGAGCTTAATCGCCATGTGTTGCTCCTTGGCTGGTAGTCTTACTTTCTGCAGAATGATCGACCCAATGAGACTCTGACATCAGAAACAAATGCCGCCGATGAGCTAATTGACTCAAATTGGCGGTAGCGGACTCCTCCTGTGTGGTCATCAGATGTCTACATGTGATGTGACTCCCCTCCCTGAACCTCCGTATGACTTTGTGACTTTGAAGTGTTATTCAAAGAGGCGTAACCTAAAATTCGATCAAACCATCAAATGACATGGGTTGGACAGGATCGTACCTCGACTAGGACCGACAGGCTACAGTAAGTGGCGGCTTCAACGCGCGTAATCAAGCAAATCGGCAGCCGTTGCGGACTTGCGATGATGTGGGGGTCCGTCTCTTCGTTCACTTCGTCCCCACGCATCCACATCACCCTGCGCGATGCTGGGCACGTTTCGTCGTCGGCCATTGAAAGGCGAGGTTGTCCGACTTAAGTTGTTGACCGGAGTGGATACGTCGCCATTAGTTCGGCCGTTCTGGAACCAATTGAAGCTCATGGTTGGATCGCTCGCACTTTACGATGGGACGGGTGTATCCGAGCTGCATACGAGAGTAGCGAGTTACTACAGATAGCTATCTGGGCCGGCTTGGTGGCGATGCGGGCGCTAGGTCACGGCACCCCTGGAGGCTAGACAAACTTGATGGATGACGGAAACAGGTGGGAGGTTGCATTGGCTGAGTGAACCCTGACCGCAGCGAAATCAAAGTCACTAAACACTCTATCAGACCATTCAAACCCGAATTAGCGTTGCCAATGCTGACGTCCTGTCGAGAGTCTGGAACTACCACGTCGGCAGCGGAGTCTTCGTTGCGATGTGTCTCGCCGTTAATTACCGATATGTGTCCCAATTTCATGTGTGATGTGCTCCCAACGATCCTACAGTGATCAGTAGCTATCGTAATACACACCCGACTCTCGCCTCTCACCACAGGCACCGCGCCGATTTCCACTTCCAATGGTTGGGGCCTCAAACCAGACTACCGGGCCCGTTCGGGCATCATGCGATCGTTGCCACCAAGACAAAGTGAGGTGTGACTTTGACGGAGCCTTGGTTTGTCACCGATGCCAGCAAAGGAACATAGTGTGTAAGCGCAGCCGGCAGATGCCAATGGGCCGCGCTAGGGGCTCGAAACACAAACCGCGACTGCAGCTGGATCGGGAAAGACCCGAGGGAATGCATGATGCGACTATCCTGGACTGTCCGGTCGAACTTTCGTCGCTCCTGTTCGCGAATTCCGAGTAAGTCTCCGCGAGTTTGACGAAGCCCTCGGACGAGAGATGGCGGTTTTCCTTAGATATTGTCACGGGCTAGAGCCCGGATTGATATCTCCGGCTTCGCCGGAGCAGTTACCGAGATCCGGCTCCGTTGGACCCACTATTCTGCCGCAGTACGCCGCCTAACCCGGCCTGCTTCACCGCTGTTAGGTGCCTACC